TGTAAATCTAGAGCAGACACAAAGTGCTATTTCTCCCGAAGTTAATTCTAATAATATTTCTGAACAGACAGATGATATATCTGAAAATGCACCAAATTCTGATGTATGCCAATCTATCTATACAGAGCCTAATTCGTCAGAAGATAAAAAGAAGGTTGATTTTCTGGATCGGATAGAAAAAGAAAGGGTTAGTAATATGATAAGAGAGAGAAATCAGGAGAAGCTTCAGAAGAAGCATAGCCTCGAGTCAAAAACTCATCAAAATCCAGACTTATCTTTAGATAATCAAAATGCTTTCTCGACAGAATTAGAAAAGCCGATACCACTTCTATTACTATGTAATGCAAATACTGTGACCAATGGTCACGATCGAAAAGAGATTATACCATCACTATTACCATCTGATGCAAAAACCGTGACTAATGGTCACGATCAAAATAATGTTTATATAAACTCTGTTAATATCTCTGAAGTATTCGAATCAGATGATCAATAGTAGAAAATTTAATACAAGAGATGTCCCATAATCATACACAGAGTATCATTTCTTCTAAAAATGATTCTACATCTTTAGATATCAGTGAACCTGGTGAAATTAGCAAGTCTTGTATACAAAATATAATTCTAGGTTCTGCACAAAGTCTCTCATATTTGTTTGATAAAGCAGTTAAAAAAGGTCAAAAAGAGATTCTATGCTGGTATTACTATTCACTTGAATTCGAAAATAAGGTTAAAAGCCTTACAACTGACGGCAAGATTACAGATAAAATGGCAAGAACAAAAATATATAAGGAAATAAAATCTTTTCTACCTAATATTACAGATGTAAATTTACATAAGAAAACACAAAGAGCTCGAAAAATCCTTACACTGTTTGGAAGAGGAGGAGTAGGTATAGCTAAAATTAAACAAATTTCATATAGCGCTCGTACTATTTCAGGATTGACAAATGCTCAAATTCAATATATTATTAATCATATGACTTCAAAAACTGTGACCAATGGTCACGATCAGATCTTGACATCTGAAGTATGTGATTTGTCATCTCAGGCCACTAATTCTTTTAGCTCAAAAAAGTTATCAGAAATCAAGGTAAGTACCTCATCCGCATCTCAACACAAGGATCCAACTCGTGATCGTATCTATTTTTGTAATAAAATACTAGAACAGTATCCTAATTTATATAAAGATGGTAATAGTAAAAATGTAGATTATTACGGAATTACTGATAAGACATTATGTCCTTTATGCAAATTAAAACATAATGACAAAGACATAAAAGGTAGATATGAAATTGGATCCTATTATGTTAAATATGAACAGTGTGGAATTGAAATTGAGGTAACAGCATAAATTTTAAGTGTTAATGACACTAGCTCCGCTATCTTATGCTAATACAATTCGCTTAAGTCTTTAAAATGTCTCTCTGAGGCATGTTCATTTTTTGTTAGATATTGTTAATTTAAAGAGACGTGCAATCATATAAAACAGGAACATGAATACACAGACCAATAAAACATTAACTTACAAATATTTGGAATGGCATAATAAATTTACTGGATTACCAAATGTTTTAACAGATAAAATTCGTTTCAAGTTATAT